GTTGGGGGGATAACTTTGTCTAGAATCAGCAGGAATTTCTTTTTCCAAAGTTCCCAATTTATACTTTGAGTTACTTAGTACACTTTGTATGCATCTATTACTCTGAATGTGCTGGTAAAGCTAATGAAATCAACTACTCCCTTAGCCAATGAGTCCAGGGTATGCCTCAGTCACTTTCTCCTTCCTAATGGATATAATCAACATAGAGATGTGCTGGTATTTTCCCCCATTTAAAAAACAAAAACAAAGAAACAACAAAACTCTTCCCTCTCACATCACACTTTTCAAATTCCCATTCACAATAGCCATCACTTGTTCACACAAACCTGGTCTCCACAGACCTCCTCTCCCAGAACACTGTAGTAAAGGCTGAGCTGGGTCCTCAAATTCCTTGAGTTCTCAATACCATTTGACAATAGCTTCCTCCCTCCTTTTCATTTGACTTCTGGAACAATGCAGTCTCCTTCCAGATTTTGTTCCTACCAAACCCTACCAAATCTTCTTCTCAGATTCTTGTGGTCTCCTTAATCTCCCCAACCTCTTAATGTTGGTTCAAGGCTCAGTCCTCAGACCTCTTTTATCTACAATCCCAGTTTAACTCACCCAGACTTATGATTATCAAATCTCCAATCTCAAACTTTCTAATGGTAGACATAGTAGATTCATTGCTTACTCAAGCTTATCCTGACCTAGTCTCCACCCTTCCACCCCCACCCGCCTCCATTGCCCCAATCTTGCTATCCCCAGAGTCTTTCCTAGCTCACTAACTGGTAACTCAATTCTTCTAACTGTTCAGGACAAATTACTCTCTAAATAATGCAGCACAACACAACATTTACATTTTATTAGGTATTATAAATAATCTAGAAGTGAATTAAAGTAATATTGGAAGATATAGATGGGTTATATGCAAATAGTCTGCCATTTTATAGAAGAGACTTAATTCTGATGCTATCTATGTAGACATCAAGCATATCTGAAATGGACACCAAGTGAGTACCCTTCAACTCATTCCTTCTTTAAATGCCAACTGCCAAATCCAAGTACTCCTAATGGACTGGGTACAAACTAAGGTTTCCACAACCCCCTCCTTGAGTGGAATTTGTTATGAGGGTTCAAAGAAGTCAAGGAAACGTATTTACTGGTTTACTCTAAAGAATATAATAAAGAACACAGATAAAGAGATTCATAGGATAGAGGGCAGGGAGGGGAGTGGTATGGCACCTTTACTCCATCTGGGCATACCAACCATAATCCCAATCACCTCTAGCAATCTAGAAACTCAACAAATGCTGTTCCCATTTTTGAAGTATTTGGTCTTTAGCCCTCTGCCTTTCCTGTGGGTCAGAAGGGGAGCTCAAGTTCCAACTCTCTAATCATTTGATCTTTCCCGTGATGGATCCCATCCTGAGGCTACCTAGGGGCTCTACTCTTAAGTCATCCACTCATAACTCCATGGGGTTTATGAATAATAAGAGGCAGTACTATCACTGAAAATCCTACAGGCTTTAGCACTGGGATTGGAATTAGGACAAAGACAACCTGATTTCCTGCTTTATTTATTGCCTGTTACACACACTTTCAAGCCAGCTGCCAGTGATCCTTTCAGCACAGAAATCAGATTATGCCACTCTTCTGCCAGCACCCCTCCAATGACTCCTCATTTCACTCAGAATAAAAGATGGAAACCTTGGGGCTGGAGAGATGGCTCAGCGGTTAAGAACACTGTTCTTGCAGATGACCTGGGTTCAAATCCCAGCACCCACACGGCAGCTAACAACTGTCCGTAACTCCAGTTCCAGGGGATCTAACAGTCTCTTCTGTCTTCCACGGGCACTTACCTACATGCAGGCAATACACGCATACACAGAGAATAAAAATAATAAATATTAAAAAAAGATGGAAACCTTACTACGGATGGGAAGATTCTATTTCCTCCTGTTCCCCAACAATTTTCCTGACCCATCTTCTACCAAGCTGCCTCTCACTAAAATGCAGTTCTATTGGTTTCTAGCAGCAACACAAACATGACCAGCAGCTTCACATCTCCCAGGGCCATACTGCACTGGCTTCTCTGTCCAGAAGATTCCATCTTCTCTCAGGCCTTTGCTCAAATTCTACTTTCTTAATAAAGCATTCCTCTTACCACTCTATTTAAAATTGCAACCTCTTCCTCCCCTAATGTTGCAGTCTCTACTGCTTAATGTCTCCATCTAATACCTTTCTTGCTTTTTTTTGTAAGAAGGTTCATCCTCTATCACTTAGGCTGGACTTGAACTGGAGATCTTGCCTCAGTCTCCTGAGTATCTTAACAGGTATTGTGCCAGACCCTGTAGTACTTTTTTATCAACACTTACATACACACACACACACACACACACACACACACACACACACAGTTTATTGTCTTTACTGTCTAGATCATAAACTTCTTTAGGCCAAGAAATCCATTTTACTCACTGTATTCTAGCATGGTACTGAGAATAGCACCAACTCAGTGACACTTCTATTTAACTGAACAAGTGCATGAAGAAATTTGTATTTGTAAACATGCTTAGGATTTTTTTTTTTAAATATACCCAATCAAAATATCAATTACCAACAATATGATTTAGTTAATTGTTTTCCAAACTGGGCTAGTCATCAGACCTCAGGTTACAAAACTACAGAATTCTGGACCAACTCAGTACTAAGTTCCTAGAGGTGACACCCAGAAATATTTTTGGTTTATCTAGAATAAACAGATCTGAAATTAGAAGTCCACTTATAATCATAGTTCTATAGATCTATGAAGATGTCCTGTTTCTAGAACCTATAATTCTATTTTCTTAAAAAAATTAAAAGACCTATTTTGCAAAGTTCTGGGAATTAAATGTATGAAACAATTTCATAAACTGTCAAATACAATAAAATATTTCATATTCAGAATCTAGTAAGCTCCCACTGGGGACATGCTTAGTAGCAGAATGCCCGTCTAGCATGTGTAAGAGCCTAGGTGTAATCCCCAATACCATAAAAACAAAAAGAACATCAAAACAAAGCTGTTCTACAGTTATGAGACTTCAGAAAGGTGGTATGGTACATGAGACTGGTTAGCTCCATAATGTGCTTCCAGGTAATCATATTCAAGGTCCTATTGCCTCTACTGCTCTTCAAACTTGGGTATAGTTAGCAGATGGGGACCTGTGAACACCCGAAGGCATGCATGTAAAGTGAGGGTTTTGTCTTCTTTTTACCTAGTTTAATTGCTAAGTGACTAAAGCTTAATGTGCTATGCTACATAAATATTTTATGGATTTAACACTGGTTAACCTTTATTTTGATAACAAATTAGGGATAAGGTGGTACCTTGCTAATATCAAAAGACTTCACAGTTCTAAGAAATGAGATGTGGAAACTGGGCATGGTGGTGCATGCCTTTATTCCCAGCACTTGGGAGGCAGAGGCAGAGGCAGGCAGATCTCTGGGAGCTCAAGGCCAGCCTGGTCTACATAGGGAGTTCCAGGGCAGCTGGGGCTACAGGGGGACCCTGTCTCAAAAAGACCGGGAGAAAAAAAAAAAAAAATGTGATGTGGGAACTTCTATATGTGTATATGTGAGAAGGAAAAAAAAAGTGTTTAATAGCATATTTTGTTGTAAAACATGCAAAAAACCAAACAAACCTAATACGATTTTTAGTGATGAGAAAAATCATATACATTATTGTATTTTAGATTATAGATGAACCATTTTTAGGTTAGCCAAGATGAACACGAACTCTTGTTTAGATGAAATTAAATACAATGCAAACTGAACAACCGTTTGTGAAGCTTTTTGTTGTTGCTTTGATTTAGCAGACTGTGAGAATCTAATAAAAGATATAGATTATGAAATGAAAAAAAATCTAATGAACTCCTATACAAGAATTATATGGGTAGATACAAATGACTATGATTAACTAATAAGATTTTTTTTTTCTGAGATAAGAGCTGTGCTGTGTAGCCCAGGATAGCTTGAAAATTTCTGTAATCCAGCCAGGCAAGGTAGGGCATGCCTTTAATCTCAGTACTCAGGAGGCAGAGGTAGGTCAATCTCTGTGAGACTGAGGCCAGTCTGGTCTACAAAAAGTGAGTTCTAGGCCAGCTGGGGCTACAGGGAGACCCTGTCTCAAAAAACAAAAATAATTCCTCCAATCCTCCTGCTTCAGCCTCCCAAATGCTAAGATTATGGGCATGAATTACCATGCCTCATTGCCTTAAAGCTTTTAAGTGCATATCATTTAGCTCATATGTATACGTTTTTAGACTAACTATCCTGGGCAGCTTTAATTGTCTCCTTGACATACCCAGGTAGAGGGAGCCTCAACTGGGGAATTGCCATTGGACTGGCCTGTGGCCATGTCTGTGGGGATATTCTTGATTGTTGAGTGATGTGAGAGGACTCAGACCACTGTGGGTGGTACCACCCCCGGGCAGATTGTTCTGCATTGTATAAGAAAGCAAGTTGAGCAGCCACCAGGGGAACAAGCCAGTAAGCAGTGTTCCTCCATGGCCTGTGCTTCAGCTCCTGTCTCCAGGTTTCTGCCCTGAGTTCCTACCTTGGGCTCCCACAGTGATAAACTGTGACCCAGTTGAGATATGAGACAAATAAACCCTTTCTACCCCTGGTTGGTATTGGTCGACGTGTTTTGTCACAGCAATTGAAAACAAACTAGAACACTAACCGATTTTCAAAATACTCTTCCAGGTAAATTAGAGATTAATTACTACTACATGCTAAAAATTTAACAAGGATCCCCACAAGGTTAACAATAAATAATATGCAGAAATTCAGGAATCAAACTGTAAAATAGCAAACTATGTAAAATTGAGTAGTTACAGACAGATTTAGAAATTCAGATAAATCTATGCATTAAAAATCCGCTCTAAAAAAAATATTTTTTTTTAATGAGTAAAAATTTAAACAATGAAGAAAAAAGTGAAAGGATCAAACCTACATACTATGTAAGATTAACACTTTACCTGCAGATCTTCACACAAAAAGATAGATTCTTGGAAACTAATTCGGTAAGTCTTTAAGGCTTTTAGCTTTCCCTTCTCTCTACAAGCAGGACAATACCCATCTGGTGTAACTTTAGCTGAATCATAATTCTAAAAGAGAAATAAAGCAAATTAGAAACATTCCTAAATTATACTGAGTTACAAAAAGTTAAATGGAAGGGTAACCAGAAAAAATTTACAATTTTCTACCAAAAGTATTCTGACAAGATTAAATACAGCAAACAAAAGAAAAGCATATAAGTCTTAAAATACAGGTATTCAAACAAGATTATAGTTTTAAATACTAAATTTTAAGAGAAGTATAACATCAGTTTCATTCATAAGAAAAAGGTAACAAACTGTCAAGGAAAATATGTTCCATATTTTCAAAGAACAGCAAACCATAAAATCTCTGTATTTCTATTTTCACATATCAACAACAGAGAGGTAAACACATAACAATCTTTCGCCATTGCTATAAGATTTCCGTGGAAGACAATCTTTTAGAATTTCATTTATAAAATAAAAACCGAATCTCAAAAAATAGAAGGGAAAAAGTAACTTTGCACCAAGGCCAAAAATAAGTTCACTAACTTTTCCCAAGTACCCCACCATGGGGAGTGAAGATATCCCTACATCAGTCCCTGGTCCAATCATTGGCAAACCATTTCCAATCTTCAGAGAATCCATCATTCCGAGTCATTGGCTAATTTATGTCACTAAGGATTTTTCAATGAACCCTGGAAAAAAAAAGTCAATAGATAATTAAATAAAAATCCTATTTACTCTAAAAAAAAGCTTTGCAATTATGTAAGGCAAGGGGGTATTAAGTATATTCATGAGCCACATGTCCTAGTATAAACATATTCTAAAATTGTGATATTGAAAATGAATTTAGATATTTAGAAAATTGATGGGGAGAGGGCAGAGACTGGTCATAGAATGCATTTCATAACATGAGCAAATTAAAACTTGTAGTACAGGCAACTAGTATTGAAAGCATGCTGTATCAACTAAAGTTTGAGAATTTAAGTTTTTCAAAAATCTACACACAGTTTGAAACAAATATGTCAGCATTACAATGAGAATTTACCTAAAACTTCTCAGATCTTTTGTGCTACTGAAAGGAATATAAGTGTACCACACATTGTATTCCTTCCTATTGTTTCAACCATAAACTGGTCAACAGTTGGAAATACTGTATTTTAGAAGCTGACAACAAAATGTTAATTTGTATCATGTCAAAAATTACATGTGTAAAATTTGTAGCAGTCGTCCCATGGAGCTCGGTCACATCCAGCATTCAGTAGACTCGAATTTTTGAGACAGATCAATATAAGGAAAAAATCCTTAGAAGCAGTTTAAATATGGATTTAAAACATAGCAAAACCCTATCAAAAAGACAAGCAGAGATACACGATGACTCAGCAAGGATGTTGAAACTCCAAGCATAAATCTTTCTTAAACCTAAGAATCCATGATTCTGGAAAGTCAACCATCTCTGGCTCACAGATTCACTTTAAAAACAAGTTATGTAAAATGGGTGTGGGACACACACCTTTACACTTGGGAGGCAGAGGCAGGCGGATCTCTGAGTTCGAGGCCAGCCTGGTCTACATAGCAAGTTCCAGGCCAGCTGGGGTTACAGGGAGACCCTGTCTCAAAACTACAGAAAAAAA